GGTCGGTCGTAGGGCTTGAACTCTGGGCCTGGGCGCTGTCCCTCAGCTCTTCAGCTCAAGGCGAGCGCTCTACCACTTGAGCTACAGTGCCACTTCTGGTTTTCTGGTGGTTTTTATTGGAGATAGGAGTCTCATGGTCTCTCCTGCCCGGGCTGGCTTTGAACGGCTATCCTCAGATCTCAGCCTCCTGAGTAGCTAGGATTACAGGCATGAGCCACCAGCGCCCGGCTAGAAAGTATTTTTTTTTAAACCTATTTGAACTAATCAGAAGATGCAATGGTTATTAGCTAAAGGAAAAGACATCAACCCTAAGAATCTTTAGATAATGGAAAAATACTGATTTCTTTTAAATGAATAAACCATGTTTACAACTCCATGGTATGTCACTGACTTTTTTTTTAAATTAGGGATTCGTGCTTGTTACAGGTGGCCCTACCTTCTGAGCCACTCTCCCTTTTCTATTCCTTTAGTAAGGTTTTGCTTTTGCCTGTTGGCCTGGACCACAATCCTATTTATATTTCCCACATAGCAAAGCTTACACTCAACTTTTTACTGGTTGAGATGGGGTCTCATATACTTTTTCCCATGGTCCTTTATTTTCAACCTCCCAAATAGCTAAGATTACAGGGAGCCACCACACCTGGCTGTCAGTCTTTTCTAACAGTATCAACTGAATTACTCTAATCTGTGACTGAAGGGCATTCTCAAGTTTCAGCAGCCCACTACTACACAGTAAAAGGACACAGGCCTCCAAGATACTGGATAAACAGAGATCTTCCAATAACAACCCAATTTCCTGTTGTTATACTTGACAATATCTTTACCACACTTTACAGGTGTGAGCCATCAGGGCCTATTTTTTTTTTTTTTTGGTCCGGTTGGGGGCCTGAACTCTGGGCCTGGGTGCTGTCCCTCAGGCTCTTCAGCTCAAGGCTAGCGCTCTAACACTTGAGTCACAGCGCCACTTCTGGCTTTTTCTGCTTATGTGGCACTGAGGAATCAAACCCAGGGCCTCATGCATCAAGGCAAGCACTCTGTCACTAAGCCACCTTCCCAGACCCCTTTTTTTTTGTACAGGATTTTGAACTCGGGGCCTTGTGCTTGCTAAGCAGCTTTCTTTTGGGGGAGGGGTAAGGGAGGCAGTGAGTGCCAGTACTGGAGCTGGAACTCAGAGAATCATATACTCTTGGCTTAGCTTTTTTTAGTCAAGGCTGATCATCTATCACTTGAGCCACATGTCCACTTCTAGCTCTTTTTTTGCCAGTCCTGGGGCCTGAACTCAGAGCCTGTCCACGAGTTTCTTCTGCTCAAGGCTAGCATTCTACCAGTTGAGTAACAGCCCCTTCTGGCTTTTCCTGTTTATGTGGAATTCTGGAATCAAACCCAGGACTTCATGTTTGCAAGGCAAGCACTCTACCACTAAGCCACATTCACAGCCCTGCATCTCCACTTCTGACTTTTTTGCTGGTTAACAGAAGTTAAGAGTCTCAGGGACTTTTCTGCTTGGGCTGGCTTTGATTAGCCATCCTCAGATCTCAGCCTGAATAGCGAGGATTACAGGCATGTGCTACCAGTGCTCAACTTAAGAAGATCTTAACACCTGAACCAAGCTGCCAGCCTTATGTTGCTATTTTTATACTCTACCATTTGTAGTTATTTTTTTTTGGATGGGGGTCCGGTCATGGGGCCTGAACTCTGGGCCTGGGCGCTGTCCCTCAGCTCTTCAGCTCAGGCTAGCGCTCTACAACTTGAGCCACAGCGCCACTTCCAGCTTTTTGCTTATGTGGTGCTGAGGAATCGAACCCAGGGCCTCAGGCATGCAAGGCAAGCGTTGTACCACTGAGCCACCTTCCCAGCCCTTGTGGTTATTTTTGAAATAGGGTCTTGCTTTGTGCCCAGGCAGGCCTGCACTTGGATACTCCTCTCTACTTCCCAGAGTAGCTGGGATGACAAAACAAACCATCTTGTTCAGATATTGATTGAAATGGAATCTTGAGAACTTGTCTGGCCAGGCTGGCCTTGAACTTGAACGATCTCCACCTCTGCCTCCAAAGAAAATAGCTAGGATTATAGACCTAAACAACTTTTTTTTTCCAGTCCTGGGGCTTGAACTCAGAGCCTGAGTACTGTTCATGAGTTTCTTTCGCTCAAGGCTAGCACTCTACCACAGGGCCACTTCCGGCTTTTTCTGTTATGTGGTACTGAGGAATTAAACCCAGAGCTTCATGCAAGCTATGCCAGCACTCTACCACTAAGCCTCATTCCCAGTCTAAAACTTTTTATTGGTTGAGATGGACAGCTCTTGGGCTGGCCTTGAACATCGATGATCCCTATCTAAGCCTCCAAAATAGCTAGGATTACCGTTGTGCCCACATTAATTTTTTTTAAACATATGAGAATGCACCAAGAAAGGATGAAAGGACTGAAAATACTGGAATATAAAAACTACCTGATGAAGCATGAAGAATGGGACAGAGCTGGAAGGGTTGGCTTTTGAAAGTGAGATTTTTCAGCGCTGGGTGTGTGGCTCAAGTGGTTCAGGACTTGCCTAGCAACACCCTGAGTTCAAACCCCAGTACTGCCAAACAAAACAACAAAACGAAATAAGACAGCTGATAATCCTTTGAATTCTCCTTTAAGCTGAAGGCAGAGAAAGGAAAACGGGTGGATTAGGTGCTGGAGAGAATGGGGATATAAGGGAAGGTCTCCGGTAACACTGGAAAATACAGGAAAGAGGTTGCTGCTTAGCAAGAAATCTACCAAAGGTCTGACCACAGAAGGTACTGGAGGCAGAAACAAAAGAAACAGCTCTGGCTGGGAATGTGGCTTAGTGGTAGAGTGCTTGCGTAGCATGCACGAACCCTGAGTTCGATTCCTCAGTACCACACACACAGAAAAAGCCGGAAGTGGTGCTGTGGTTCAAGTGGTAGAGTGCTAGCCTTGAATAAATGTAGCTCAGGGACAGAGCCCAGGCCCTGAGTTCAAGCCCAGGACTAGGGGAAGGAAGGGAGGGAGGGAGGGAGAGAAAAACGGCTCTGATACAGGGTTTAAGTCCAGGCTCGCTTTTCTGTTCTGTCATTTATTGTGTGAAAAATGGGTGCCTTGTCTAAGTCTCCTCAGAGATCCACTCACGACCACGCGGTGGGGGACTCCATTCTCCCCACTAGGTCCTCACTAAGCAGCGTATGCGCACAGGCCCAGTAGGGGGTCCAAGCCCACGGGTGCCCGACCGAGCGCCCACCACGGCGGGCCACCGGCTCCCAGCGTCTGGGGGCTGTGTCAGTCTGTGGACGGTGCCAGCGTGGCAGTTTTAAGGACATCCTTCCGGGTCCCCGGCACTGGATCGACCTTGACCCGCACCCTGGCTGAGCCTGGGCTCTGTGGCTGGGGAAGGTAAGCTCCTCGCCGGTCTGAGCCCCCACCCCGACCCCGCTCGCCCCTTGCCGGCGGGGCCTTCCTGGCACCGGGTAAGCTCCCGAGGGGTCCCAGGCCGAGGGCTGGAGCCGGGGCGCGCGCGGGCAGGGGACGGTTAGGAGAGTGAGCCGCAGGGCCGGAGGGCCCGAGGGCGCGGGGACGTTACCTCCAACATGCCTCTCCGGCTGGCCCCGGCCGTGTCGATGAGCGTGTTGTCCAGGTCAAAGAAAACGGCACGCACCCGGTTTAACCCCATCGCGCCGGGCCCCTCCCCGCCCCCCCCGCCCCCGGGAAAGCAAAGAAGACGGGGGCGGAGCCGCAGCCAGACCCGAACCTCCCGCCTCAGCAGCCGCCGGCACGCCGAAAACCGGAGGGGAGGAAAAAAATAATCCGTGGAACTCTCGCGAGACACGTCGATTCCTGAGCGGTGGAGAGCCGACCTCTCGCGAGATTCTGGAACTCCCTGAAGTTCGTGGGAAGAGCGTGCCTACGTCACCAGCGGAGTTGCGCGCGGGGTTGACTTTGGGGTTTACGCTCTTTGGAGCTTTGGTGTCGTGGCCGTCGGCGGGCGAGGAGTTCGTCGGACTGCGTGCTGTCTGGAGAATGGCGGCCGCTGAGGAGCTGGCTTTTCAAATGCTCCTGAACAGCGGGCTACAGAGCTCTATTTGCTAGGGTCGGAACTCTGCCTCCTTGTGTCTGGATATCGTCACTGCAGAAGAGCAGGCGTAATACAACTGGCGCCCCACCAGTACTGTCTTGTGTGTGTGTGTGCCCCACCAGTACTGTCTTTTGTGTGTGTGTGTGTGTGTGTGTGTGTATCCTGGGCCTTGAACTCAGGATCTGGGCACTATCCCTGAGCGCCACCTACCTATCTTCCTTCCTTTCATCCTTCCCCTCCCTCCCTCCCTCCCTCCCTTCCTCCCTCCCTTCCTTCCTCCTTCTTTCCTTCCTTCCTTGAATCTCAAAGTCTCTGTTGGCTTCATCTTTTACCGTTTTTATTGGTTTTCTTGAAACGTTGCACCCAGATTTCGGCATCCATTTAATTGGATGTTTTTCTGCAAATAGTAAGGGACCTAGACAGTGTATTGCACCCTCTCCCCCAGAACAGCAATAACAAGTTTTAGCTTCTGTAACTAGAGCAAGAATCTTGAAACTCGTCTTTTATGATCCCTATTGTGTAACTTAGGAAATGTTGGGTAGGTGGTTATCGGTAATCAGAAATGGTGGAAACAGGTAGATCAAGGTCGCAGGCCAATTGAGGCTTATCACTTGAGCCTGTGACTTGAGGAATCGTCCTTTCTCTCCCCTCCCCTTCCTTCTCCCTTCCTTTTTGTGCCTGTTTTGGGGCTTATACTCTGGGCCTTGCACTTCCCTTAGGGTTTTTTGTTTGTTTTTGTCTGTTTGTGAGCTTGAACTCAGGGCCTGGGCTCCGTAGGGATTTTTCTGCCCATGCTGGTTTCAAACCGTGATCTTCAGATCTCAGCCTCCTGAGTAGCTAGGGAGTTGAATTTTATTTCAGCTTGGAAAAGGTTCTGTGACAGCCCCTAAGTCCAGAATCTAGTTGGTTGCATGCCCCTTCTCACCACATGTATATAATACAGCTGAAAGCTCTATTGATGCCAGTGCAAAGAAAATGAGAAACAAAAACCACTTGATTCTCTGCAGTCCACATTTACCTTATATGGTCATATTTTTGGCAGCTTTCAGAATCTGAATAGCTGGAGGTTCAGCCATGAGTAGCTGAGAATCAGTTGCTTGATTATACTTTGTTTACATTATATGGAGGTAGATCAAAAGCCACTTTGGGGCTGTCATTCAAGCATGGAGACAGATTTGTATCAGATGTAACACACTAAAAGTAATGGACAGTAAAACTTGGATCTTGGGCTGGGAAGGTGGCGCAGTGGTAGAGTGCTTGCCTCACATGCATGAGGCCCTAGGTTTGATTCTCAGCACCATATAAGCAGAAAAAGCTGGAAGTGGCACTGTGGCTTTAGTGGTAGAGCACTAGCCTTGAGCTGAAGAACTGAGGGACAGTGCCCAGGCCTAGAGTTCAGGACCCACAACCTGCCAAAAAAAACCAAAAAACAAAAAAAAAACCCTCAAACAAGTTTAATTTGTATCATGAAATACTCATTATCCTTATAGTCAATTTTCAAAGTAACTAAAACTTCCAACCCAGAAACAAACGAGAACAGAAGAAAAAAATCCATTAAAAATTCTGTAAAGAATGACAATCAAAAGCTTTCTGCTGATACACAGCAAATCAGTTATCACACATCATTTAGAATGAGATAAACTATCTTCAAACAGCATTTTTGAATAGGAAACCCCACTCTGAATTAAAACTCACTTTGAAATACACGAAATTAGATACAAGCCTCAAGCACAGTAACATTTTTTTATTAATTTATTGTTATAGAGTGACATACAGAGGGATTACAATTACATGAGTCAGGTAATGAGTACATTTCCTTTTGGACAGAGTCTTTCTTCTGTTTCCTCACTCTCTCCCAGTCCCTCCCTGCCACCTCCACCCATGAGTTGTATAGTTCACTTTCATCAGTATTCTGTGAGTTACACTGCTGTAATCTTCCCCTTCAAGTTCTGTACCCTCCCCCTAGCCCTTCTGAAGATACACACTTGTATAAACCATACATAAGGAAAAGAAGACAGAATCATAAAAAAAATAAAGACAATAAACTAAAAAAAGGGGAAAAAAGAGGTCACTTGTTTCTATATCTTGGAGTTCGTTTCAATATGTATATTTTATGTACTATGTGGCACTTAGGCATTGCGCCTTTGTGAGTAAGTTTTACAAGTTATAAAATGCATAAGTAGATTATCTGGTAATACTTTTAGTAGGTAATTAATTTCTAGGGGCTGGGGCTGTAGCTCAGTGATAAAGTGCTTGCTTAGTAGGTATAAGATCCTGGATTCCATCACAGCACAATACACATAAGAACACAAAAGGTAACAACCCAAGAAAACTAGGCTAAAGAACAAAGGTTCATCATAATATGTTAATGACCAACAAAGACTAGGCACAACTTCAGTTGATTAAATGGAAATCTCTATGAAAAAAGACTTTATAATCACTGACGGAGCAATTGTCTTTTTTTTCCTTTGGTAGTACTGTGGTTTGAGTTCCTGACTTCATCCTGACAAGGAAGTTGCTGTCCCACTTGAGGCACAACCCAAGGTGAAGTCTGCCATTTCTAAAAAGTAGTAAAGATACAGAGTATAAATCAGAGTACCTTTATTTTTAACATCTGAGCTATATTCCTAGCCCTATTGTGTTTTATGTTTCATTCTCGAGACACTACCTACCTAACTTGGCCCAGTTCGGCCTCAAACTTATAATCTTCCTCTTTGCTTGCCATGTACCTGAGATTACAACTACTCGTGTTTTCTGTAATGGTCATGCATACTGCCTACTTAATTCCTGAGCTCCAGACTGTCTGCTTATTTTAGACTTACGTTTCTGTTAAAGGATGACTGACTCTGTGTGTGTGTGTGTGTTGGTCATGGGCCTGAACTCTGGGCCTGGGCGCTGTTCCTCAGCTGTTCAGCTCAAGGCTAGCGCTCTACCACTTGAGCCACAGCACCACTTCCTGCTTTTTCTGTTTATGTGGTGTTGAGGAATCAACCTAGGGCCTCATGCATGCAAGGCAAGCGCTCTACCACTGAGCCACTTTCCGAGCCAGGATGACTGGCTCTTGAGCCTCAGTTCTATTCACTAGTCACCAGATGGAATAAAGAAATCACCATTGAGATACTCCCATCCAGGCTATGAATCATAGAGCAAAGAACACAGGATTGGAGAGTATAGTCTATAATATTTACAGGGAACTTGGGTAATAGGAATAGGCCCCAAATGCTGAGATAAAGTTTTAAATGAAAACAAGTGCTTTTGTTTTCACTATAGCATAATTATTGATGGAAGACCACTATATTGGGAGCAATTTCATATGAAAAACATCTTGGGGTATTGATTAATTTAACCTGTTATGCTACAGGGTTCATATTAGCATAATCTAAACAAAATTATTAATCTTAAACTGAGAGTAGGATATATTAGACCATGTCTGGGCTCTGGCTCTGTGGTCCTTGGTCAGGGTATAATGACTATGATGTGACATTGGAAGAAAGTATTTCTAGGACACTAAGTTCCCACATACTGTGATCACTGGCTGCTAATACTCCTGAGACTTGCCCCTGCTCAAAGGGGAAACCTTTTCACTCAGGAAGGTTATCCTTAACTCCCAATGATTGCCTCAATATTGCACTAATAATTGCCTCAATAGAATATAAAATATTGAACCCTGATGGGACCTGGCCTCAACTGCATTCTCTAGTGTGCTCTCTTTCCCCCCTTTCTCTCTCTCTCTCTCTCTCCTTTTGTCAGTAATGGAATTCAGGGTCTTGAATTCAAAATTCAGGGCCTTCAGTTTGTTAGATAGGTGCTCTACTACTTGTGCTTTATCCCTAAGACCACATTTTTTTTTTTTTAAAAAAAGCTCTGCCTCAGCTGGGCGCTGGTGGCTCACGCCTGTAATCCTAGCTACTCAGGAGGCTGAGATCTGAGGATCGTGGTTCAAAGACAGCCCGGGCAGGAGAGACCGTGAGACTCCTACCTCCAATAAACCACCAGAAAACCGGAAGGGGTGCTGTAGCTCAAGTGGTAGAGCGCTCACCTTGAGCTGAAGAGCTGAGAGACAGTGCCCAGGCCCAAGTTCAAGCCCCAAGGCCGACCAAAAAATAGCTCTGCCTCTGCCTGATTCTACTTCCTCTACCCCTCTACAGGTTTTTCCTGAGGCCACTCCTCAGTAAATCATTTATACCAGGATTCCCATTTCATACTCTAGATGAGGGTTCTGGAAATCATAAGGAAAGATGAGGACTGATTTAATCTAGAGGAAAAGAACTTGGAGGAAATAGGATTTTTAAAAAACTGTCTTGGGCTGGGAATGTAACTTAGCGGTAGAGTGCTTGCCTAGCAAGCATGAAGCCCTGGGTTCAATTCCTAAGTACCACATACACAGAAAAAGCTGGAAGTGGAGCTGTGGCCCAAGTGGTACAGTGCCAGCCTTGAGCACAAAGAGACTCAGGGACAATGCCCAGGCCCTGAGTTCAAGTCCCACAACTGGCAAAAAATAAAAAAACAACTGTCTTGAAATATTAAGAGAGTGGCTCATGCCTGTAATCCTAGCTACTCAGGAGGCTGATATCTGAGGATCGCTGTTCAAAG